CGCCCTACCCGACCCTTACCCCCCATTCCATCACCGTTCCGTTTCATCAGAGGCGCCACAAGTAGTGTGTGTATGACAACATCAAACAAGACGCACCAAAATATGAGGGGGTGGAAGGGGGGAGAAGGACACGCAGTGGCAAAAACCGAGAAAGGGAAAACAAAGTAAAGGTCAAAAAAAACAAAACAAATAACAAACAAAAAGAGCAATTTTGGGGTTGCGCGCCGCGCATGGGACGGGCTATGATGATGATCATAATTTGCGGCGCTGCTGGCAGATTGAATGTTGTGGTGTAATTTATGCTGGCGGTGGAGGCGTCGGGCGGCGCCTGTTCTCTCCCTGGCCCGCCCCTTGGTCTTTTTGGTGGTGCGGCGTCTCACAACTCTGCGTGTGTGCGTGCGTGCGTGTGCGGCGTGTGCCCGTGGGTGTGTGTTCGTTAGAGGAGGGGGAGGGGGGGGGTCGCCCATGCATCACTCCATTAACTAGAACGCTGCAGCCCCCCGCAGAGAGGCCCCTCAGTGTGCTGTGTGTTGGACGACGGCGCCGCCTCCCGACCCATGTCCTGGTCCGGCGCCGTACCGAGGCGGAGGTCGTCCCCGGGTCCCGCGGCCCTCCTCCTAGGAGCCCCGACTATCCTGCTCACGCCCACCGCCTGTCTCCACTAACCCCTTGGACCCTCGGTCTCGGATGGTATAATCTAAAAAAGCACCCTCGTCATTCGCCGTTACGAACCAGCTTTTAGCTGTCATAGCGCCTTGTAGGTAGGCAACATCTTGCCTGCGGTGCACGCGTGTACTGCGGGGTGGCCTACCCCGAGACTCGCAGGCGCCGAGCTCCCGTAAATTGCCCGAGAGAACCTGAGGAAAACGGACAAAACGGACGTACTACTTCCTTGACGATCCGCATGCGGGTGTGTCTGTGCCCAATCTCAGCGCACTATTTTTTCATACCAGCAGACGATAAGACGCTGACGTCCAAGGCACCCGCATGTATCTGGACGGTAGTTCGGGTCGCTAAAATCACGATAATCGCTATGTGCACCCACCACCCCGCCCTCATCTTTCCCATGTGCCACATTGTCTACACCAACTGAGCGTGTTTATTGCTTGCTTGTTTGTATCGCAAAGCTGACCTGTTGGCTGGGTTGCCTACTCGGCCGCCGCCCGAGGAGTCCGCGACCATCTCGGTTGTTGTTATGGTTGCTTGCGGGGGAAGTTTGATTCGAGGAAAAACAACCTAATATGGTTAACCCCCGCGAAACTCAACTCGATCCTTATTGCTCTCGACCTGCCGTGCTATTGTCGTGGAGCACGCCACAACTTTCCTTTGGGGGGCATTAGTGTGGGCTGTGCGTAGGAAAAGGG